GAGGGGCTGGGGCAGAAAGGGGTGGATCTGGATAACCTGGATAGTCAGAAGGCGATCTTGTGCGGAAAAGTGATCAGAAGGTACGCTTTGGGATTGTTGCAACACATTTGTCGGAGCGACTAAAGCGGATGTAAAATTACAGCATTCTCTCATCCCAGCATTTAACGACCTTGTTCCCAAACACCGAACTCCTACCTCTCACGGGAGAAGCACAACGATTCATGTACTTTGCATGTGCTCTTTCACCATTGGAAGGGGCCATGTATCGGAATAAAGCACAAATATACCCACTTGCGCGCTTTGTCATTTTGGATGGATTGAGGGTAAGTGAGGACTGCTATAAGCGTAGTGCTTCGGAGATACCAATCTTTTTTTCGTCACGGGGAACAGCTGAGCAACAAAGATGCGGATACGGTCGCGGGATTGATCCAGGCAGCAGACTCGATCCGGAATATGGTGCATAAGCTTAAATCTAGAGGATGGCAGTGCGAGCGCAAAGAGCTCGGACTGTATATCCGGAAAATCGCCGGTAGCATACATGAGCTGTGGACAATTGGGTTGCTGATAGCTTTGGCGGAAGATGTTTTGGGACGGATCCGGGATGATGCACGGCTCGGAAATGGAGCGTGGTTGGAAGGTTCGTTCTGCAATGCATGTCTGTTGCTCTTTCAACCTATTGAACTATCTTTCCATGATGGAATAGATCCAGGCACGCAGGAGCTTGTGGATGATTATGCAAAGTTCATGAAGTTGGTGACCGACTACGATCTTCAGAAAGCTTATGATTACCGACCGTTGCTTACCGTAAGTTTTGATGTTGCCCTTGTATCTGGACTCCATATTTGATTGACGCGGCGTTAACAGGGAAAGCGAGTGTCGGAGATCTTCAATGAAAAGGCCGGCCCACGCATTGGCCAACATCTGCAACGTGTTATGGAATGGCAATTGACGAATCCGCAAGGCACGAAGGAAGAATGTGAGCAGTACATGGTGGCGACGTTTGGCGAAGGCAAGTAAAGAGATTGATGATCTCGCATCGTAGGTGAGATGTGATGTTCTTGCTATGTTCTGGACAAATAGCTTATATTTGCGTCTCTGAAATGCAACAGAAATCAATCCGAAGGGTGACTTCAAGTACCGTCCCGGAAAGCGACGGAAAGTTGCTCCAGACGGGTAGCCGAACCCGGACGGTGATGCGGCTGATGGTTGCGCAGGGATTGTAAATGTATTGAATGACAGGACGCGGCATTTGTGAAATGTACTATAGGTCGTAATGCATAATGCACATAATATAGCAAACTTTGTATATTCTAAACAGTAGGATTTTGGTCGATAATGTCGGCCGGACATCTCTCGAAGCAATTTGCAGTCACGTGTGTCGGACGGATGTGTGACGTATCCACTGTCAGCCAACTGGCCACTTCCATTCGGACGCGTGCGGTTCCCAACGCTTCACCACAATATCCGGGAAAAGGATCTCTTCCCAATTGAATTCTCCGTGCACGTACCAATCAACACTTCTTTTGGTTGCAATGAATCGAACCACTGAGCCGCTCACACCAACGGAGTTTTATCACCAACTTGAACGTGATGCCGACACAACATTGGAAGGAGTTTGGGAAGCATACCGACGACACATAGACGATGTACTCGCGGCCCTACCAGACGACCGAAGCGGAGGCCCGGAAGTCGTCGCAGCAAGACAAGCTTGCTACAAAAGTAGACGCGGAGGGGTAGGTATACTAACCGACAGTGCGCAATGACCTGGTCTTCGAGGTGCGGGGAATGACACCGCAGGCGTAATGGAACATTGGCTCCGATACAGCGGGCGTGCTGGCACAAAGGCAGCGAGGTTTACACCCCTGCTTCCAAAAACCGTCCTGACGTAGGAAGGCACAAAGCGCTGTTGCGCTCCTTCACTCGTCCAGATTTCGGGCAGGGCTCAAACCAGTTTTTGGCTGGTCCCTCTCGAAATTTTTTCGCTGTAACGAAAATAGTATTCTGCGGGTTGCTTTTTAGCAACAGGCGTGTGAACGTCTAAACAAGGGCGGCTATGCCCCTTGGGCTTTTCAAGCTCGAGTGTCCTCCACTTGTTCGATCAGTGTCGGGGCAGAAATGCTTTACGGCATCCCCGTCTGATTGCAGAATAACTGTCTTGGGGGGGTTATGCACCGAATGTGGCACCTATTTGCATGCACTAATCATCGCCAATTTCCATACCCAAATACCTCAAATAGGCCAAGCAAACATTCCAAGCATTGCTGAAGAAGGTACAGTATACTCAATACCGGTCAATGTAAGCCCCGTACGACTATATTTGACCGTGACTGCATCCTTCAGGACCAAGAGCGCTACGACAGAATTTTGGAGGCACATGTGGACTATGCTAATAGCCTTCGGAGTTTTGGGAGCAGTCACATAACCATAGTGGACGAAACATCTACCAAACGCAAAAGGGACAGCTTAATCGTCAAGCAAAATGACTCTATAAGTCCTCAAAAGAGGCCACGATGGTCATTCCCGCATAGCTCCAGTATTGATGTGGAAATTCACACAAAGGCGTCTGCCGAGGGTGCCGTCAAACCCAGTCCTACGTCTGTGGAATTACTGATCCAGCAACGAACAGACCGGCCTGCTGTCCAGGCGTCCAGTGGCAGCACCTCCCACCGTGAGGTTGACATGTCAACGGACATCCCACCTGAGTACAAATGTCCAAATGATGAAAATCTGCCGCTTGATCCCGATGAGGGAGATTCATCAACAAAACCAGCAATACTTTGCAATGCGGATAAGTCACCACCTCCTCTGGTGCCCGCCCTGACTGCAGAATATCTGGATCATTATTTCATGGATATTCTGAATTATACCCCAAAAACAGAGGTAAGGGGATGGCATGGATTACTTTGCATTCCTAAAATTAAGGGATTCAATTCTTTGCGGCCAGTTCATCTTCCAAAATCACAATGTCTCCGCTGTGGTTCGGCGTTTTCAACATGAGACATACCAAAACCTCAAGGCCGGTTCTGTTCAAGCGTGGACCAGGACGGACATACACAAAACTTTGTAAGATTCAGTTATTGGTGTATTCTTCAACCTATCGAAACTAACAGTTCTACATAACAATGCAGAGCAATGTATGACATCTTCATGGTCTCGGAAACTCATCAACCCCCATACCTCACGGACTCTGAGAAACGCACATGGTGGAGAGCTCTATGCACTGATGGGAGGAAGCTGGTTCGATCGCAATGTCCACCAACCTATTCCGCCCTGTTTGCCGAGTATTATATGGTAATGGCATATTCGTAGAAGCTGGACTTCAGGCAACCGTTACATTTGACTGATATATATGGCTCGCTCAACTGATAGGCAATGCAACAAGGATTTGACACGTTTCAAGAGAAATGGGCATCCAACTTCGCGCAGGCGTCCATATTGGAGAACAACCAGGATAGGAAAATGCTTATCGCGATACAGCTGATCACTCATGCATAGTAAGTTAAGAATGTGAGCAGTTCAGTGGCTGTTTAAGAAGCTTTTCTGAGACGCAGAGTAAATTGAATGCAGCATGCAAAGTATACGCCGAGATCAGCAACGCATGAAGTTCGACATAGCGATGGATGAGGACTCCTACGTTCATGCCTGGCTGCATGATTTGTTCACGCATGTATTTGACGACGAGGATCTTGTCGATACATGGTAAGGGTAGTCACAATTAATGGGTATAATATTCACATCTCCATCACACCGCACGAACAATTTGTCGACTATTGCCTCGCAGGGCAAACGCGGAATCCGCATCATCGAAAGCACATCGCTCCTTCTACATGAAGAATCCAACTGGCAAGCGTGCGGACTACCGAGTGCTGTCAAGGAAATACGAACATCTGTTTGCGGAAATCAAACATCATGAGGTTGGGGGTAACACTCAATTGGCGATTTTGGATTTGTTCAAGATTGCGATGTTTTTGTTGGGAGCAGTCAATGAGATGAGTGATGGGAAGGTGAAGGGATTGAGACGATGTTTTGGAATTCATGTTGCTGGTGAGTACATGTTTGTCGCTATCATTGCATTTTCCAAGTTTGTGGGAGGACCACTGATGTTCCTTATTGTGAATTTATCAAAGGTGACACGCTGGACATTTACATGATGCAAAAACCTGCAGATCGTCTGTACACGTTATCACATCTGGCCTCCCTGCGCGTTCCCAGGACATTGATGGACTTCATGTCCTTGTATGAGCTCATTGACACTCTGTACGCAATCAAGGTAAATCACATTCAATATTCTAATCTCCGATTATCAAGCATGCCTCATCTCAATGGTGTTCTCCATCATCAAAAGGCATTGATTCAAGATGATATGTTAACGAATGGACAGGTGGAGGAGGAAGCAGCCGATGTAGCTTCTGATGACGAGAATAGAAAGGTTCAGCAGATCAGGATTGCAGTTCCCACCCCGCGTGGAATGGAGAAGAGAGTGCCCAAATTCAAATTGGGAGCGGAGAAGGGCAAGGCAGCACCGGAAGCGGAAGGATCAGGATAGTTCAGGTCTGGGGAGCTGCTTCGCGGCGGGATGGACTGGGGTGGCATATAGGGTTGCACCCGGCAGTTGGAACCCAACACTGCTGGGGAATCTTCTGACCTGCAAAGGTTGACAATGTGCGGAATCGACAAATGACATGTATAATGAGACCCAACACAGTCAGGGTGACCCGGAAGGTGAGATACGGAATGCGATAATGCGCACGCCTTGGATACAAGCAATAAAAGATATCAATTTGGTCCATTGAACATTGCTTCATTGCATCGTGACATAAACCACATAACCATGTCCAATCGACTCGCGAGCCGCCGGTCTTTGATTTGTCACCGAAAATGCAAAAAGTGAAGCGCTCACTGTTCGATAGTGACATGACACTCGTCCAAAATCCGCGAACATAGGCAGCGCAGACTTGCAAAAAGTGAAGCGTTTGCGTTTACTATCCAGTCAAAGATAGCGACCCCACTGGGGGTCGAACCCAGGATCTTCAGATTAGAAGTCTGACGCGTTAATCCACTACGCTATGGGGCCAATTAACGACAATCGACGGCTGTGTGCAAATATATAGGATGGGAGGTATTGCCACTTTTGGTTATGATTTTCGGCAGTTTGGGCTCCTGGTAGGTATGATCAGCGAGGTGTGGGGTTTTTGTGGTCTGTGACGCGTCAGTGCAAAGGCTTCGGCGTCGGTTGTTAGCAGTCCAAGGCATCGAGGTATCAATGGTTGTGGGGCGTATGGTGTCAGGTGACGTTTGAATATGGATGGTAGGTGGAAGGAACAGGGTCAATTGCTCCATGTCTATTTAGATCTAACGTGTATATCACACTGATCACGAAATATGGTCCAGTGAAGCGTCAGATTGACTTTGACCCATAGCGTAGTGGATTAACGCGTCGGAATGGTTTTTGTTCAAAGCGAGCTCAAGGCATTGGGTCATTCACAGTTCAAATAGAGACTCCACTGCGATCAGTCATTGATCTGCAATATATAATGGAGTGTATGCTTTCGCTTCCTCAGCTTTTGGCTTCTTACACAGAAAGGACATATGCTGGAATAAGCGGCTGTGTACCGGTAGCTCCCACCAGGCGGTCGAGTAGATACTTGATTGCAAAGAAGATATTCATGACGTATGAAACACACGCCATTGCGCGTCGTGTTAGTTCGTCTCTTCCTGGAATGGAGGATGGTCAGGCAATCTGAACTGTGTTCATTCGGACTTATCGTTCTTGTTCAGGAACGTGGAGGAGCGGGTGCATGAGGGGGGTTGAATAGCCTGACTTTGACGGGATCATACTGTGCAGGAACGGGTATTGGTGGCAGTCAATGTGAGCATGGTCATGTGCAAGCACCTACCTCACACATTCTCAAATGTCATCTGCTCACGCCATCGTCCTTGCCACAACACACAACCAATTATTTATGGTCCATGGTGGGAGTCGAACCCACCAGAGTGATCCCCTCACCGCCGATCATTTCCATTTGATACCCTTGCGGGCTCAGCCTAGTAAAACAACCTGGCCACCTTCCTGAGTACGAGTAAATGACCCTTGTGTACCCGATCCGGATCAAAGTTTCCAGGACAGTGTAGCGGGAAGAAACGAGTTCTTGCTGCCTTCACTTCCATCTGATACCAAGTAGCTTAGCCTAGTAAAATAACCTGGCCACCATTCCAAGTACGAGTAAATAACCCTTGTGTACAAGGTCCGGATCAGACTTCAGATCGGTACATAGAGGGCACACTCTATCCGTGACATGGACTTGTTTGAATTGTCTTGGTCGAGGTGAATGGCGAAAGAAAAATGGGGGAGAGTAGATATCAAACAGGTCAGAAGTTGTGGTATAGGGGATGGATGGATGGTGTTCTTGATGAGAGAAGGTGATAAAGGAGGAGAGAAGACAATTCTGAAGTGAGGATGGTGGAGCATCGGAAGTGGGAAAATGGGGAGTAGGCAAAGAAAATTGACGCTGGCCTGGCTGGCTGGTGGTCGACTTGGAGCAAATTTCAAGCACTGCTGCGCCACCCAAGTTGCGCTCCCAATTTCTCCTCCAGAATTGAACCCAAGGCTTTCCCAGCTTGCCTCCATCCTCCAAACCCCTCGAAGATCATCGTGTCAAAAAATGCTGCGTCTCGCTGTCAAACGCGTGCACAGCACCTCTCTTCGTAACGCATATGCGTCACCAGTGCTTCTTGGGGTAGGATTTCAACCACTTCATATGCCAAGCTCGAAACTCACCTTAACCCCTCACAGCGACCCTTCTCAACAGCCACAACAAATGCGGTGCGAAAGCCTGTTGCTCTATGACGTCTGATAAGCCGACCTTGCTGACACAATCTCCTTGGTGCACCCTAGGTGTTGAACAATCGATTGAAAGATAGTGATCCGGATGTCTTCGATATCATAGAACACGAAAAGAAACGTCAAAGGGAAAGCATCGTGTTGATTGCCTCAGAGGTGCGCATTTTGAGGAATATTGAACCCTTAACCTCAGCAACTGACTGAACATGTCCTAGAACTTCACCTCTCGGGCAGTATATGATGCGCTGGGTTCGGTTATGCAAAACAAATACTCAGAAGGATATCCGGGCGCTCGGTACGGTTTGTTTACATTCTGTAAATGGTTGCATCATGCACGAATGCGCTTCATGACGTTTACAATTACAGATACTATGGCGGCAACGAGTTTATAGATCAAGCGGAGACTTTATGTCAGACTAGGGCATTGCAAGCCTTCAATCTGGATCCCTCCAAATGGGGAGTAAATGTCCAACCACTGTCTGGTGAGCTTTGTAGAATCTATTGACATCGATAGACCGCAGCGCTCACCCCTTGCGCACAGGTGCACCGGCCAATCTATACGTGTACAGTGCACTTTTGAAGCCGCATGAGCGACTGATGGGATTGGACTTGCCTCATGGTGGCCAGTAAGTGTGTGAGAGTGCCATGTGTAGGTTCACTGCTGACCAAACGATAGTCTCTCGCATGGATACCAGACTGACACAAAGAAGATCTCGGCCGTCTCCACCTACTTCGAAACCTTACCGTACCGCGTCAACGAGGAAACGGGAATTGTGGATTATGACATGCTCCAGAAAACAGCTATCCTGTACCGACCAAAAATCATCATTGCTGGTGCTAGTGCTTATGCACGCAACTGGGATTACGCACGGATGCGGAAGGTGCAGTCCATTGTGATTGATGCGACACGACCGGCTCTCAACCCATCCATTCCAGATTGCCGACAGCGTTGGTGCATATTTGATGGCGGACATGGCTCATGTCAGCGGTATGAACTCAACACTCACTTGTTGTCAATGTGTTGAATGCCAATCAATCCTCAACTGTCCTATGTGATGCACAGGACTGGTAGCTGCAGGCGTAGTACCGTCTCCGTTCGAGCATTCCGATATCGTCACTACGACTACACATAAATCTCTCCGCGGGCCGCGAGGAGCAATGATCTTTTACCGGAAGGGCGTCCGACGTGTGGACAAGAAGGGAAAAGGTAAATTGCCGGCGATACATGTGCTCAGATGTTTTGTCGGGTTCTGACGGTACTGCGTACAGAGATCCTATATGAACTTGAAAGCCCCATCAACTTTTCCGTGTTTCCCGGCCATCAGGGAGGACCTCACAACCACACCATAACCGCTCTGGCCGTTGCATTGAAACAGGTATGCGGTCACGTGGCAGTCACTTATTGATGTAGAAAGCCTCTAAAAGATGAAATGCAGGCACAATCTCCCGAGTTCAAAGAATACCAGAAGCAAGTTTTGCGCAATGCTAAGCAAATGGAAGAGAGTTTTCGAAAGCTGAATTACGACATGGTGTCCGGCGGAACTGACACTCATCTCCTATTGCTCGATTTGCGAAGCAAGGTTGGTATGAAAAGGGTACATAACTCAAGAAAGGCTGTAGCTCACGGCTACCACAGAAAATCGACGGAGGCCGAGTTGAGCGAATCCTGGAGCTGGCCAACATTGCATCCAATAAGAACACCGTGCCGGGTGATAAGAGCGCGCTTCTACCCGGTGGTCTGCGTCTAGGTGTGTTTGTCGAAAGATGTCATACTCCATCATAGGTTGAAAACTAACGCATTCGCCAGGATCTCCCGCCATGACGAGCCGTAACTTGAAAGAGAAAGACTTCGCACAGGTTGCCGAATTCATTCACCGTGGTGTTGAGCTGACACAGAAGGTCAACGGCAGTGTACAAGGTGAGACCCGTTGCGAATCAGTATTTCTGACGTGCACCTCATCGTCGGTCTTCAACAGGAACGAAGCTAAAGGACTTTAAGGAAGCTGTTGGAAAGGATGGATCGGCATTCCCCGAGATTGGGAAGTTGCAAAGCGAGGTAGCAGATTTCGCTAGGCAGTTCCCTACAGTCGGGTTTTCGGTAGATGAGATGAAGTATTGGTGAGATTTATCTAGGTTGTATATAGCGTTATGGGTTAAATTATTGGCTATGGTTATGGAAGGAGCTGGCATAATCCAGCGAACGTTTAAAGTAATCGCTCGGTAGTCAATCCGAAGGGCTTTTGTTTTGTCGAATGCCGCGCTTTTGATCTGTTCAGCATGTAAGGACAGGAGATAGGTGCATCCGGCCCTTTCAACCATATATACATATTATAGAAGACGTTCCTCGTCCTTTCACCACCTAACAGCCGAACCCCTCCAAACACGTTACGTCAACTTCAGCTTTGGATTATCTAGAAACAGCTCCACAAGTGGCTGCCAATCCGTATCATTTCCGTAATTGATGCTTTTGAAAAACGCTCCGGCAGCGGCTTCTGTTTGGCCGGTGTTAAGGAAGGAAAACGCGAGTAGATGCTGGCCTTCACGTTTTGTGCGCTCGTTGCGAAGTGCGGGGGCGACGCATTCGATGACGGAGTGGTAGTCTTTCATTTTGTAGTAGCCGCGGGCGGCGTAGAGCCAGCCCACTGCATCTAAATTTGGGTAAAAGCGGTTAGCGTCGGGATGGCCTACTGGTGAATGGAAGGAAAAGGTACCTTTTGGTGTGAAGCCGATGTTTTGTGTGAGCGTATCACGAACAGACTTGCGTTGGTCCATTATATTTGGAGCGTGGGAAAGGGTGAAGCTGGAAGCGAGTGCAGAAATGCGGCAAACCCGACTTCATCTGCACCCTCGCGAATGCTGTGCCACCATGGCTTATCAAACGGAGGCGCGATCACTGTCAAAAACTCCATCACCATCCTCTTCTCCTCTTCTTGCCTCTTTCTCTGCGCTTTCTCCACGGTTTCCTCAAGGCTATGTTTACACCATGGGAATTACGAGAATAGCACGCTGCGGAAGCAATATTTTCCCTAAACAATACACACGTCGTAACTTCTCTTCCTCCCCAACAAGCAACCTACCTCGTCTCACCATCCGTCCCACGGCTTCTGACAAAAGAGCCCGCTTTGGCACCTACGATCTAATAACTCCCTCCGCCGCAAACCTAGATACAGCCATACTGGACCAACCTCACCGCGTCGTTCCACCCCACATACCTCGACCGCTATATGACGCCA